TTCATTTTCCAAATTGCCTTAAGCAAAGAGCAGAAACCAAACCATTCAAATTGTTCATTTTCCAAATTGCCTTAAGCAAAGAGCAGAAACCAAACCATTCAAATTGTTTGTTTTCCAAATTTTTTGTGCTTAGCAGAATGCTGGCCTCAGACTTAGCAGAATGCTAGCCTCATACCAAACATGGCCGTCCAATAAACATTTTGGGAAGTCAATAATGGGTGTTACATGCAAGTCATTACATTGCTTGTTAAAGACAAGTTTGAAATATGGGTCAGAGCAAGACAGGTTCTTGTACTTAATTTTCCCGGCCAAGATTAAACTCCCAAATATACAAAGAGGGTAAAGTGCAAAACATTTCAAATCAACTGCTAATATTTCTTTAACAAGACAGAAATTAAAACAGAAACTCTTAAGCCAAGTTTTGAATCCACAGCCGTGTAGTCATTGCACCAGAGTGGTATTCCAGTCCATCATAAGTCCTGTCGCAATTCCATTCACAAGTCCAGTCACAAGTCCCTTCACAAGGCAAGCCATAAGTAGCAGGGTGAACGGTGAGAAAAGAATGCTTTTGTCACTGCTCATCTGAATAGCTTTGTGAATTGGCTTGAGACTGACTGACTTGTGATGGACTTAGGGGCCCTTGCAGGGACTCAAATGCAACCCTGTATTGTACAGCAGCCCATCCTATTTAGGGATTGCACCACTTCACGCCTTTTCACTGGTCCCTTGCCCTGTCAAAGGAGTGGTTATTGAGTACCAACTGAGGGTTCTATTGAGCTCAATGACGAGTAGATTCTGAAATTTTGTATCACTGCACTCGTCATAGAAAGAGAATTGTACTGACACAAACATGTTTCATATGCACCTCAAAAACATTCCCCTGCTGTTGTTACCCGGCAGCTCCGCGAAACCTTGCAAACACGGAGTTGTCTTGGAGGTGAAACTCCCACTTGTGTCCATTGTAGGGGAGGAATTACCTTCGAACCCGGAACCCCGTCCGGTCGTTCCCCTAGCATGTACTCACCACTGACATTTCGACGCGTGCTTGCCAACATCTCAGAGCTGCAGATTAAGTGTGATCATAATGCAATTACTGTTTTTATTGCATCGTGGAGAGTTACCTTTCGAGAAATCCAACCACAGCTTTTTATTGTTTTCTTCTCTTTTTTCCCATCGTGAGTTGATATGTGAGTTCCCATGGCAACCACAAATTATGCAGATAATGCAATTTATTTCCCGGCCATTCTTTTGTAAACCTTCTCCTGGGCACTTCCACATTGCCGCTGTCCGCCTATTGTTGGTTTTTTTTTTTTTTTTTGGTGCTCTTTGCGTGGAGATATGTCTGGCATTTCTGTCTTCAGGGAATTGGAAAGGTTCATTGCAATACACAAAAGCCTTGTCTCAGTACTTGAACAAAAAATACTCTCAATCCTGAATCATTCCATCACGGGGCAATGGCACATGGAAGCTGATCCCCCTGAAATGTATTGACGTACTCCCCCCTCTAGTACATTTCATTATGTATCTCGGAGTGTTCATTGCGAAACATACAGCAAGGCCCAGAATATGTCTGTCAGTTGACACTCTCTACATGAAAACCTTGACAGCAGAGAAGGGAGTGTGCAAGTCATGCATCTTCACTCTTTCACATCAAGACCGAGTCCTAGGTCTGGGCACAGGATTTTTGTTACATTGTGAGAGGTCATACCATACCAGATGCTCATTATTCACGTGAATGTTGTCTAACAACTTTAGCCTGTTCAGTTGTTAGCAGATTAAAATTTAAGAAAATTTTGTGCCTTGCTGTGAGAATTGATAATTAAATATTTATTTGCCAGTGGAATGAAGGTTGTTTGATATTTTAGTCAAAGATGCAAGTGTGTGGAAAGTGGAACACAACAGAGACAAAAAGGAAGGGAATCGTCTACAAGTAACCACAGAAATAAAGATGAAGGGAAACATTTTACAATGTCAGATATGACAGAAATATAACAAAAAGCCCCCTCCCCCCGAACAGAGATATTGACAAATGGGAAGAGCCACCAACATAGGGCTAGATAGCTCAGTTGGTAGAGCACTGGTACTGTGTTCCGGAGATTGCAGGTTCAAATCCCCCTCCAGTCAATTTCTTTGTTCATCTTTATAATCTAAAAAAGCAAAAATAAGGAATTGTTGAACTTAAAATGTAAAAGGTTAAACCTAAGAATAAAGCGATTGGGGTAAAAAGTAAAATCTCTTGACGTCATTCCGGTACATGTCTTCCAAGGATGGACTGAACCGATGTCAGTTAGCAAATAAAGCAAGCCCTTGGAAGGCCTCCAACAACACACCCAGGGTAATGCAATTCTGTGAGTTTTCACGCGCGAGTAGCGATGACTCCGAGTACTTACGTATGCGTAATATGTGATATGTTGGGTCTGCAACTATATTTATGCGTTGACATTTCTTCCAACTGTCTTTGTTGTCATGAACAGTAATTCAATCCCCCCCTCATCTTGTGTTTGTGTTTTGAGGAATTGTTTTCTTCTCCTTCGTTTGCAAGTATTCATGTGTAAGAATTCAGCGTATGATTTTGGGAAGTAAGGGATGCACTGAATTGAACTCAAGTGAGAAATTTTGTTCAAGAATGATCTTTTTTGATTTGAGAGAGAAAGATTTCCGTCCACTGGAGGACTCAAGTGATTTTATTTATTTTCTTCATTTGTAAGAGCATTTCCTTATTAGTAAATAATAATTCAGTTCTTGGACAAGTTTCAAGATATGTTCTTAATAACATGTAAGGTTTTCCAACTTCAAATATTTTATCATGGAATTCTGTTTTCTTCCTTAGCTCAAATTCCAAAAAAGAGTCATTCAATTAGCCATTAATTCTGCATGTATTGGCAAACCACTTGTAGTGAGTATTGGCTATTTCTGTATGTTAATGTACAAGATTTCTGGAAAGGATGTAAACGTGAATTAATGACTCATATGAATATTAATGATGTCTGTGCAGCTTCATAACATGCATATATTCATGAGTCTCTTTGCATAATGAATATTCCTGATCCACGTGTACCTGGTGAATGGCTAATAACAATCGTTGGTTCCCTCCCCAAGTTAGAGGTGGGTAGGGGATTAGCCCCTTTGTTGAAGGAGAAACAGATTGTCCGGGGTCATATTAAAGGCTGACTTAATAAAACGAAGCTTGTGAGCAGTGACAAGAAAGCAAAAAAAAAAAGCAGGAGGCCTGTTTCTGGAAAAGGAACCAAATTTTAAGAATCTCTCGGATTCCTTGTGGGAAAAAATAGCATGTGTTACCACTTGGACTTGGTCACAAAAGTGACAGGTTGAAACTCTGTGAGGGTCAGGTCGAGTTGCCCCCTTTGGTCAGTTCATTGGGCAGTGGCTGTCAGACCAGCCCTGACAAATTATCTGTACAACTAGACTCTAATGTGTAAACTAACTCCACTGTGTGGTGTCCAATAATTCCTTGTGTGCTATCTCACATTGGTTTGCGGTGTAGCTAACTATAAGGCCCCCAGTTGGCAAAGTCACAGTCAAATTTGTGAGAAGTCACGACGAGTCATCCTTAAAAGACACCAGCTATTCAGCTTTACCTTTGTCAGGAACATTTCTGTCTTTGTCATTGTTCTCCGCAGCACTTGTGACCGAGTTGAAACCGATTTTAATAAACTCAACCGTACACTTACATGGTGTTTTTCGAACATTCTTTTTTTGCATAATTTTTGCTTTGAAAATCATGTAACTCTTCGTATGTTACAGCAGCATTCGGTTTGAGGTCCGTCCATTTGGTAGATGTATGCCGCCTTTATGCATTTCCCTCTAAAATGGAAAATCTAACTCTTCATTAAATTGAAGCTGCTTTCCACATGATATGCATTCATCAATTGTCTTTGACAGTGCCTGTCAAAACTGTTTGTCCGATGTGTGCTCTAAATCTGCCCATTCTAAACTGTCCTTTGTTTTCTATCTATATTTGATGTTTTCAATTCGAGGAAGATTTCTTGCTTGCCCTAATAAAACCTTGAATACTAAAATTCCATTACGATAATGCATTTTCCCGAGAATATTGCCAATCACACTAATGGGGCAGTTGCCGTAAACATTGGTAATTGGTTTTTTTATTTATCAATCCCCTCTGCAGCCCCGCTCTCCGACAACAATTTCAGCGCCTTCCTGGATGCAAGTTCGCCGCCGCTCATTGAAGACACCGGTGAGATCCCCAAGCTGGCTCCGCCCCCCAAAAGGGTGAGAAAGGGGGGCCCTGGCCTACTGGATTAGGCACTCAGGCTAGCTGATAAACTTGTCCATAAGTTGGTGATACCAGCAGAAGCATTACTATGTAGTTGGAAGAATTTAAAATCTGTAATAATAAGGCCGAGTAGGAAAATAAACTTGTTTCTCATCCCTTTCAGCTTTCTTTTTCCCAGCCCAACTCTTTTTTTTTTCAGCCATTTTCTTTTGGTTTTATTTAAAACCTACATGCACTAGGACTTTATATTTGTGTCTAACAAAATATGTACATTATCCATAAATGCAGGTTTAAATAGGACACAAAAATATTAGAATCAAGATAATCGATCTTGGAAAAATCCCCCATCTTTGAAGACAAAGGGGGGACACTTCCTCTCTGAAAAAAATGGATGAGAAACTGTTTTATTTTTACCATCTCAGCCTAATGGCTATCTTTTCAGGCCACTGAGCGCTCAAATATCAATTTCTGTAGTCTCCAAAATTGTTGAAAACAGTACTTTGAGTTGAAACTGGTGTCAAAGTTTGAAGAGGTCCCAAGTTAAGGTGTGCACAATAATGTCATTGTCCATGTCGGTATTAATGGCACTCGGAACTATGCAATAAAGCTGAACATGAGTCATCATGATGAATATTTGGTTTAATTGTTAGACATGAAGGAGAGCATATATGTTAAAAATCAGTGGTCTAAGGAAGTAATAAGCCTGTAGATTAGGCAGGTCATCGAAAACACCGAAAGCAACGATTCCATCAGGGGACTTTTGGCAGTAATTTGGTTGTTACATGCACTGCCAAGTTATATTTGCTCTGATGTCATATTTCCCACGATCCTTTGCAGTCCACGATGTTTGGTATCAAGCCTGGTCTTGAAGATGCATTGTTGTCTAGGGGCTGTGGCTCTTGTGTGTTGTGACAGTTGGGTGAAAAATGTAACCGAAGTCCACAGCCACAAACTGTCACAGAGTATCCAATTCATGACACAGCCAAAAATGGCGGACTGCAAAGAATTGTGGGAAATGCAACACAGCGTACAGATTACCTACAGGTGGAGTCCCAGTTTAGTCAGAAATGTTTCCCGTGGAGGGCTAGGCTACCCAAAGTGTTGGGAATTGCAACTAATGTTCCTATTGCAGAATTCTCATTTTGTGCGACTTTGGTTATTTGTCTTCTGATTAGATTCCTCAAAGTTTTTGAAGAGTAAGACATGAAACGCTTGAGGACAGATTTGATACAGAAAACCTTTAAAGAAGCCGCAGTGTGGTTTCTGCAACCTTGTTGTATTGCTCAATTGTTCAAATTACTTTGAAGAAATATGAGGGATAAATTTCCCAGTGGAGCATGACAACTTTATGTCCACGCATTAGACTCCATAGTGCTTCTTCGTGCAAGTCTATAGTTCATAATGCAGTTCCTGTTTGTTTGTTAGTTTGTTTGTTTGTTTGTTTGTTTGTAATATGTCGACATATGGAGGCTTGTGCAGTGCAGTCTGAGATCGTAGTAATCAGAATTTATATATGATTTCTTCGAAATTAGCTGTTCGAGCTAAGGTTGTGTATTCCCTGCAGCTGCGGTGAATCGTACTGACCTTGAATCTTGTTGCTTTTCGTAGTTTTTGTTCTTTTTACCAAATCTAAAACTCTATTTTGTATATTGTACACTTTCCTTTTTTTCTCGTATTTTGTATGTAAATAAAGCTTTTCTCTAATTTTAAAGTAAGCTTTTATGCCGTAAGTCCAGCCAAGTACTTTGCCTTTGAGCGTCAGTGGACTCCGTGCACAAGAATCTCCCTCGGCAGCACCGGCCAAGATTCGATCATCGGCCGTCAGCTTAAACCGCTGGTCGACCGTTTCTGGTGTCCTGTCCAGAAAAGGTGTCACGAGTGACCTGTGATCCACAAGATTTGTCGTTGAGTGCATTTGACCACCTTCCCCGATATGCCGCTGCTTTTATTGTGCAGTGATAGCATCTGTGAAGCAGTGGGAACTTTGACTGCCAGATCTGGTACCCCCCCCACCTTCCCTTCTGCAGAGTCTAAAATGTAACACTGGTGCAGACACCCGCCATTTTTTCCCAGCAATTGTGACACTCATGTCACAACTCTATACGCGTACACAGCTGTTCCCTCCTTGCTCCCTCTGTTATCAGTGCACGGGGTCTATATCCTTGCAGATCTAGGGCCATATTCACGAAACCTCACTTGGCCTAGCCAGTTACCCAAAAGGCTTGTAGTTGTGTACTGAGCCTAGGTGGTTACTAATTGGCATCCATGTAACATTACTAGCATCAGTGATACATTCTAAGTTTCTCAGTCTAACTCACTAGTTAGCAATTTCATCATTTTAATATCACATGCATTTGACCGCTGATGGGACAACCTGGCCAGAAGAATAATGAAATTGGTTGAACGTTGTCGTGCTGTGCAAATAGAATGCATATTTTCGAAAAGAGGAACCAAAGACACCAATCTGTCGATGCACAGTTGCAGCAGCGATACAGATGTTCCAGGAAGTTGTGTAATGCAAATCGCAAATTTAGTTGCGCCCGATGTGGACCATTCCACAGGGAGGAACTCCCGTCTTTCTACCAGATCAACGAATCCTAACTGCACTATTCGATCTTGCATCGGGCACTCCGAGTTTCATTTGGGTAATCTGGTTTTTAAACCGTGCCATGATCTTTCAACCTGTGGAAATGTTGCACGACGTTTGCGAGAATAGCTGCCCGTGCCGCTTTCCATTTCTTGTTAGTGCTTTCTTCCTTATGCTAGTATCGGTGATATCTTTTAATATTCCTTATACTTGTCTACCAAAGAGGGATTCTCTTCTTGTTTTTTTTTTAGAATAACCGGCCTTCCTTGGCCTATTTGTCGCCATGTTTGGTAATGTAGGTGCAATTGCTAGAGAATTTGATTTTGATTTCACGTGCAGTGCTTAATTAACCCTAACCCTCCTCAATCCTTCACCTGTTGGAGGACTGAGGAGTGTTAGGGTTAATGATCTTTGTTTTCTGTTTCTTTCTTTCTTTTTGGTTTGTATTGTTTTGCTAAGCCACGCAAAGTGGTGGACATGGATTAGCGTGTTATACCTGTCACACTAATGTATCTGTTGTCATCACATTCCACACCTGCTCCTTCTGCCCCCAAAACATGGGATTCCCTGAGGCAACTAATTTCTCCTAGTGTGTAAATAGTTGGCAAGGTTCTTCGTTAGGTTTCACAAATTACAGTTTAGTTGTCAACTCGAGGCACCAAGTATTCCACTAAGGCTTTAATTGATTGTTGTGTTAAGTAAGGTTTCATGAATACGGCCTCAAAGGTGTAGTGTTCAACAATTTGGTTAGTGCACATCATTATCAGCGACATTTAAATATTTGCTAGGAGTTGATAAGTAGTTTATCAGAGTAACATAGGTACAGAGCAGGAGAGGTCTTAGCCTGCAGAATTTGGGGACAGGCAGGTGAGGTATGTATTGTAGGCCCTTAGGAGGAAATTTTAGGCCTATAAGAGACTGAGTTTCAAAGATTTTTACGCACATCTAGCCTACAGCATGGCAGGAGTTCTTTAAGAGGCTTGTTCACCAACAGCGACATTTTGGGGGTGTGGCTATTAAAAGTTGGTGGGCTTTCATATTGCCCAACACGCAATCCTGTTTGAGAGAGGAGGTACTAACTCTGAAGTGTGATGTAAAATTAACTCTATTTTGGCATTTCTTTTTATGAGTATTGTCTCCAAGGCAAGCCCTATGTCAATGTGTCGTTGTTACACAGAGACGAGTGGCCTTCTGTTAAATAGAAAGCGGGAAGCTCTTTGCTAAACCACAATTTAAAGACTTTTTGAGTGTTGAGCAGGACCACTGTTGTTTTTATATTTTTGTATCTGTCAGCAATACCTTTTTTTATGAATAAAGAGTTGTCCGCAACTTTTCCGACATGGATGCACTGTCCGTGGTTTCTCTGTGATTTCATTTTGTGTGCTTATTTTGTGTTGTGCTGGCTGAGCGCAGCGCAGTGAGTGTGAGTGAGGTGGGCTGTCTGCGCTGGTATGACCAAACTGTTGCCTCTTGATATCCATCTGTCGAGTCACAATGGGATATGTGAGAATAGTCTCTCTACGCACCTTGATATAACAGCGAAATATTACAAGGAATCACACAAGAATCGAAAAAAAATGTGCTTGTTTTGTTTTCTTTTATTTTCTGTACAACTGGTCATCTCAGTTTGGGTGATTTTCAAAACACCTGCACGTCAGGTTTGAATTAAAACAGTGCTCGGACCCTATGTAGGCCCTACGCTCGTGTTATCACTTTTCGGTTTGTTATCACGTGATGTCCCCACCCCCTCCCCAGCCGCTTTGCGTTGAAATTAGTCTGTGGAATTATTGCGAATGGAGCAGATGTAGCGTGCGTTTCGTGGCAGGAAACGATCACTGATCGATGAGAAATATTTTCTCGCCATAAAAAGCAAGGCGAGGGACTGTCTGATATAATGAGGTGTGCTGTTGATGTGGCTACCGCGGTGCATGGACTGGATTGAAAACCAAGTCTTCAGTCTCGGTTTGAGAGAGAAAAAATAACGTTAGTCTGTACGTCGCGTATTTTCAGGTCCTGCCGACCAGTTGGTGAGCTGACATTCCGTTAGGACTCCCATGTCTCTCCCTTCCCAAAACGTATAAAAGGCCCCATATAATTTAACCCCATCTCTCAATAAGGCCATGAAAGGTTGCACAAAGAAATGTCAAAATCCCCCCCCCCCCAAAAAAAAAGATAAATTAGGTTCAGGGCCCGTCCTTGGATCCCGTATAATTGTGGAGTCTCGTCGCGTCATCGTTTTTTTTTTTTAAATTAGTCTATGGCGGTCTGGGCTGCAAAGCGTAAGTCCGACAGCATACATGTAGTCTCTTCGTTACGTTACTCGTATCGCAGTGTCCCTCTCTGTCTTGGTTCCCAAGGTCTAATCACAAGCTTTAGGGAAATGCACATTTTGTTGCCGCTGATGGCGATCCTGCAGACTTCAGATCGATATAAGGACATCTCATCTGACGTCTGGGCCCAATTTAATTAATTATCAAAATCCCATTTTCTCGAGGTTATTTGGATGGTTTTCATCATCGGTTCGCAGGGTGTATTTTTTTTCCGCTTCGTAAATTTGTAACGTGAAGAGTCTTCGACAGAGATCCCAAGGCCGGCTTGTTAACCAGCATCTCCGGAGGATCCGCGGGAGCAATATCCGCCGTGTGGATGGGATTTCGATCCGGGCATGCACGCTGACGGTTTATAACGGGGGAAACTCTGGTAGGTATGCTCAGGTAGACTCTCGGCTTGTTTGCGCGCAGCAAAGGTTTTTAATTTCTGAATTCCACGGATTCATCACTAATCCAGGAACATCTTTCCCACATCTTTAAGCGAGGGTTTGATTCTTCAAAATATTCAAAAGCAAAAGGTCAATTCCTCTTTCCCCATTCAGTGTTTCGAAATCATCTTTACTCTCGTACAATCATTTGAAACAAAAATCTCCGATTTCTCTCCCATTTATTTTGTACAGGAAAACTGCAAGGCGTTACGTAACTTCCGAGATTGACGTCAATGATGCTGATGTGCGTCATGATGTTGGGAATTTTCGTCAGGGGAGGTGAAAGAGATCCGTTCTCGGGCGTTCTGCATGAAATTGTTTTGTGTGTAGGCCTAGTATGTGATGAACTTGTTATTGCCACTGTTTCTGCTACCATTTTCTTTGTATAAAATGATCAGCAAACATTTCCAAAACTCCGGAAAAATATAGTTTTCATCACTGCCCTGCTCATCAATTGCGTTCCGTTGTGACGCGTTACTATGGGGTGGGGGGGCTGCGGGCTGGCGGGTGTTGCGCCTCGAAAGAGGTACGAAATCTTGCTGCCGCTCTTTTATTGTTGAATGACGACCGTGAAGCTGTTTTTCTCCGCTACCCAGCCCTCTTTAAGGAAAAACCAATTTGCCTGCCCTTTAAGGGAGCAAAATCTAATTAAGGAGGCTCATTAGTCAAACCAGCAGATGTGCAAAGGTCTTGCAAAATGTTAGGGTCGCAATTCACTTGGCGCACGATGTTTCATTCTTAATTACTCGGAGAGAGGTTGATTGGCTTCCACGCGAGTGGGATTTCGGCGTTTTGTTTTCCAGATTACGTCATAGTAGGTTACGATGTGAAGAATTTTCTGACTAGAGGCAGCTCATTGAACTTTCAATTTTTTGTTTGTTTGTTGGGGTGTTTGTTTGTTTGTTTGTTTGTTTGTTTGTTTGTTTTATTTCCTTTTCTCGTCTCACGAGCGCAAGGAAGGTCACTCGAAATATTGAACGATGATCGTGCCCTCTGTGGGAAAAAAAGCAAATAGGAAATTACGCATGTTCTTCAATCAGACGTTAGTTGAAATTAAAAAACGGCACAATTTTCGTGCTTGTGTGATGGTCCATCCGAATGAATTTCAGACTAAAACAATTCGAAGACCGTAGTAAAGAATCAAAGAAAGAAAGAAAAGTAATTTTAGCGTTTTGTACCCCAAAATTCGGGGATGCAGACGCACCTGTCCAATATAAATTTATTGTTTTGTCATGAACGTGGAAATCTAAACTCAAAAAAGCTTCATAACGCCTTGAGGATCTAATTGCAAGGATAGATTTTGGATCTTTGCCCTGCCCGACGTGCATTATAACATTATTCAGTGCCTTGAGGATCGCAATACTTAAGACAGAGAATGTACGTGGAGTAGATGGGTGTTTTTTGTTTGTTTTTTCAAAAATCAAGTTTCAGAAAAACATTTCCCTGACTGCATTTTCATTGATGAAATTAAACAGTTCGAATGTAGAAAGTCCCTTTAAAAAATGAACATGGATCTGCGTACCACTGAGACAAGGTTTCCACTTGGAATTAGAGATTTTCCCAACGTTTCGACCAACATACTTCGGGTGTCACTTGCAGTGAGCGCCGTTTTAACGTTGTGTATACCGGTGGCCAATTCTCCAACGTGAAGTGGTAATGGAATGCATTATGGTTCAACGCCCGAGAAAGATTTGCTGTGTTTATGTTCTTGTGTAAGGTCCGTAACTAGAAATGCCTCGCTCCACTGCAGTGTACATGTCACCGTTTAGCATCTTGCACAAAATTTCAAAATAGCCTCCCTTCACTCAGGAGTCCATATAAAAAGATCGTCTACCTGTGCCTAGAGCAAGAGAGAGAAGGCTGCGCTGAAAATCTTGTGGCTTCGCTTACAATAACAACAATGCACGGTGCTTTCCACGCTGCTCATGAAAAATCATTTAAATTTTAACAATTAATTAACTGCTCGCGTCGTTTTTAAACATCAGTCTATATCCGGTGATACTGCAGAAGAATGAGATTTGGGGTGGTTTAATCAGACTTTTATTTGTCTGCGTTTTCTCTGCCGGTATTGTGTTTCTACTTCGTGTTTCGCTCTTGCATATTTATAATGGTTCCAATTTTCTTACCTCACCATAATAACCAGGAAAATTGATTAAAAACGGACCTCAGCACGCACGTTACCGACCTTCCTCTGTGTTTTTTGTGAGCAGCAATAATTGTGTTAGTCTCATTATTCAAATTACACGGAACAAAAAAAATCCTGTGGCAATATTTGCATTTAGAACGTGCTTTGTTCCTCTGTTATGCAAGTTGCTGATTTAATTTATCAATAGGCCTATAAGGGGGGGCTGTTCAAACAATGGGTCGGTTTCAAAGGATCCGTGCAATGAAATTTTCTTAGGCGCACATTTTGTGCATCTTAATACTCTTCGTCAATAATTGAAAACTGGAATCGGTTTGGAATTAAGTGTTTTGAAAAGTGTAATTTTTAAACAATAAAAATTGTCAAAGCTTTTCCAGGCAAGTGAGGACGCTGTTGATGTGATTTAAATCAAGGAAGACACTTTACTTTTCATGTCAAGTTCTGAAATCCAGATTTGCTCTTCAAAACTGTTTGTGAAACAATGTTGCTTTCTGACTTATTGCACTGTCCAGTAGTTTTCGTGCACAAATCAAGGCAACATTGGGGTTCAGTGCCTGAGCTCCATCAGAGTTGTGTAATGAATATGCAAAATTGTATTAGCATAATAACCAAAAAGGTTCCAATATACAGATACGGCCTATACTCCTCCCCGCTGCTACAGCTCTGCATGCATCATATCAAAACGACTGTGGCGTAACTGGGCTGATTTCCTTTTAGGGGGTCGAGGTTGCATACATACATTTTTCTAAGTGGGATCTGAAAGCAAATTAACTACGGATTTGATGCATAGGTTGTTATCATTTCGAGTTTTCACACGCAGTGAGAGGCAGGCTCAGCCACCCACTCCCCTGTAGTTAAGCCACTTGGCCTGAGAAAAGACAAGACTCAAGTTCTTCTATGTGGCTTCTCTGTGTGTACAGCTGTGCCATACTTTATTGTAGTGTTCGAGCGTTCCAACTGTGACACTTAAAGGCAGAAATATATTACTCGCTTTGGTGTAACGCAGTAATTGGTACAATAATAATTCATTTCCAAACTGATTGAATTTATGCAAAATTGATTATTTTCAGCTACTGTAAGTTTGCAAAATATCCCTCAGACGGTCCGAGGATACGGTTACATGTGCCAGCAACTTGGGAGAAAACAACCTAGGCTGTTAAAAGTTAACAGAAATTAAACATTTAGTTCACGTGAAGTATTTTAAAATAACGATAAATACATAACCATTTTAAAAATAAAAAGTGGTAAACAATGTTTACTCCATTAATTGTGACCCCAAAGTGAACGAAAAAAAAGATCCTGCGTTTCCCCGCCCACAAAAAAATACCGTTTTGGCCGTTCACGCTCCCAGGCTGATTGGATGACGTCATCAGCAGAACGCCTACATGTACATGTACATTGCGTGATTGCACACAGTACATGCAGTTCATGCAGGATTGCAAGGGACCACTT